GTTGCAATATCAATTTTTTACTCAAAGATTTCCTCTATCAGAATTTATGTTAAGTGCTTATGTATAGGCTATTTATATAACATAAGATAAAATAAATGTAAACTACTTTAATATAAATTAGGTTTAATTACATCAAGGATTCTTTAGGATATTTAATAGTAATAGATTGGTTCTTTAAGTATTTCTTTGCTACATGTCAGTCCTTTAAGTTGCATAACGTCTACAACGTTGTCCATTTTTTATGAATCCATTCCAAAAATGCACAACTATTATTAACGATGCTTATGTGGTTGTTACGTTGTTGAGATGGCTGTAACTTTGCTGAGATGTAATTGTTGTAAATTAACTTTTATTTAATCAGACAAAATTCCCTAATTTAAGCATCCTAAAAGTTAACCCTAATTTTACAAACTCTGCAAAAGCGAGCTGCTGCGAATGAAGATGATGGGTTCAAAATGGAGATGAAGGATTCGAGGGAGACGAAATCAGAAATGAATCTTTGAACGTTTAGGTAAGTATCGTTTTCCCTACGAAAATGTATTTGCTTTATTGAAGTCTAGGATTTTGTATGTGGTCCCTTATAACACTTATTAATTTCTACAACTTACAACTTTTCTGTCAAAAATGGATGTTTTTTATGTTGATTTTCATCATTGGGGACAGTTTGATGATAGAGGTAGATATGTAGGAAGGATGGTGTCAAATTGGAAGTGTGATGGTGACAGATATAGTTATTTTGAAATTTTTGGTGTTGTTAAAGAAATGGATTATCCTGGGGTACTTAAAATGTGGTATGATTTTTCTAGTAAGTTAAAGGAATTAATTAATGATTTTGGTGCAATAGAACTACTAAATTGGTCCAACACTCATGGCAAGGTAGACCTATACACAATCCACCCAATTTTCCAACCTAATGTAGTAGATGTAGTTGATGTCCAACCTTTATTAACTTATATCCAACCTACTGAACAATAGATTGAGATACTTGAAACTGACATACCTGAAACTGACATACCTGAGGGACAACATGACATAGCTGAAACTAACATACTTGAGGACCAACATGGCATACCTGAAACTGACACCATGCCTGAGATACCTGAAACTCACACCATGAGTGAGATACCTGACATTGACACCCAACCTGAGATACCTGAACAAAATGAAATTATTTTTGAGAGTTACCTTAATAAACAAAATCAAGATAGTGCCTTAGGGTGCATGTTTGATGACTATGATGATGAGGTATTAAATGATGGAATTGATGAGGTTTTGATAGGAGTATAAGGATTTGTTGCTGGACAAAATGATCAAGAAGTGGATGATTCAACTAATGGAAGAAAAAAAAAAAGTAAGCGTGGTAGACCAAAGAAAAAAAGGCCAAGGGAAGTTCCAACAAGAAAAAGAGAAGACCCACTATAACGGAAAACACATATCATAACGGTTGGAAAAGGGATACCACCACGTTGGTCCAACCGTTGTGAGGTAAGGTGTGATTGTATGTATGATGACTTATTCTATGGTCGTGCAACCTTGATTGTATCCATGTAGAATGTTGTAACACCTTTGTCTACCCCACAAATATTATGGCAAAATAACACAGATATCAGAGTAATTATTAAATTTCAACAAAAAGCCACCCAAAAGGGCGTACATTTCCCAAATCAACAAAATAGGTCAAGGCTCCGTAAGCAACGGGTTTTCCCAAAATACATCAAATTGCACAAAGCATCGGAACTCAAAAGGCATAAATCAAGGTTTTCCTTATACGGGAAGATAATCAAAATAAACTCAAATAAAACATAGTTTAACTCAAAAGACTCTAACCCGATGTTACATATCAGAGAAAGACCATCTAAGTTAACCAAAAGGTTAACAACTCAAAGACTTCAAAAACATCATCGACGGCGTCCACAGCTAAACTTGGTCATCTGCAGGTTACCCACGTGGAGGTAACATTCAAACAGGCAGGGTGAGTAAAATGATTCATAATAATCAATGTATAAAAATCAACATATAAAACAGCGTCATATTCATATTCAACACATTGATATCCTTCAATAGGCCTCAAAGGTCACAACATCATAAATTATTCCAAATGACTCATAAATGCAAATGCAATAAGACTCAATGCATGTGGTATCAATCATCACAGCGCGATGGACACTGGTCCATCAACCCTCCATAGATCCCCATCAATAGGATCGATTCTACTTAAGAACCGGAGCACATCAAAACACTTCACATCCGCACAATGGGATTGAAGCCAAAGTAATTGAGGTCCTGAACCGAAGTCCGGATGCACATGAATGCATGATGCACACGTCAATAATCATCCTTATAATAACATCATAGGTGCATCATCATTCATCATATTCATCATCATCACAATCGTCATCATATCTCATGGCATCATATAATTCATCAAAATCATGGTAATATCATCATAGTTTTCCCAATCAATACATCATGGAAATCATCATATAATCACATACACATCACATAAAACTCACAGTCATACTCATGTTAATTCGTCAAAGAAATCACAGAATCAAACATCAAGGCATCGCTGCACATGATCAACATTTGTGAAACTCTGCTACGTTCGCTGGCATGTTCGCTAGGCGAGTTTGGGGTGAGTTTCTTCGCTAGGCGAGTCTGGGAACAACATGGTTCGCTAAGTAAACAATGCGATGACTGCAAATTCTGCTACGCACCAGAACCTAAATCCACCCAAATGTCCATACGATTCACTTCCCCAATGCCCCCAAAACATCCCTAAATCATCCCTAATGTCTTACGGCGATAAAGGGACAAAACCTACGGTTTATTAGGCCAATCCCGTATCATATTCACGCCCTAAATCATAAATTTCCCTACAATTATCCCAAGGTATTAGAGTTACTCACTATCTAATATCCCTATCTCTCCAGGGTTAGACAAATAACAATTCATGGTTTTGGCCACGAAGGCCTAACTTTTCCTTTTCCCCAATGAGTTCCACGGTTAGATTCACAATAACAGATATAGGCCACGAAGGCTAAGATCACTATTTCTCATATCCACCCTCAAAATCCCTTAAACCTTAAATCGACCTTAAATACATTGAAAGTTACACATGGAAAATCATGAAGGTAATACTCCCCATACCTTAATCGTCGATTCAAAGCCTTCACAAATCTTTCAGAGAAACTCTCGAAGCTTCTGCCTCCAATCCTCTCCTCAGAGCTCTGGCCTCAATACTTTTCACAGTCTAACAAATGAATCCTAATCCCCTTCCAATTTCCTTTTTGTTAAATCTAGTTTTGGGCCTCACAATTGGGCTTTCTCCATAATACCCTCACTAACTCCTCTGAATTGTCCCAATTGCCCTTATTCATCTTATATTTATTTTAATTCATAATAATATTACTAAATTCATATTAAATACTATTATTCAAAATAAATAACCCCAAAAATGCACAATTCTCAATAATCCACAAAACCACCGAAAATCACCGAAAAATGAATATTCTCAAATAAATAAATTAATTAAAATATTCCAATTAAATTTGGGGTGTTACAAATGCTACCTACCATAATGGTTACTTTAAACAACCGTTGTGATATTATTTAATGCAACGTATTTAATCACAGTTATTTTAAACAACCGTGATTAAATATAGACTTGAGTTATTATAAATTATGCGCGGAATGCTTATTTTGTCAATGTTCACTAAACATATAACCTTACAATTTGCACTAGAACATTATAATATGACAAATTAAGTTATATTAGAAGAACATGTTCACGTTCAATGCTAGATAAGAGTTCTTCAATTCATCATCTGTATTTTGTTCTTTGATAGTAAGAACTTGGTTTAATGATCTTAGTCCTTCAACCACCCCTGTCTTCACCTCTAATTCTTTGTGCAAAATATTATTTAGTTTGTAAACAAAATCAGATGTGGAGAGAGAGGTGGTTGAAGATCTACAATCATTAAACCAAGTTCTAACTGTTAAGGAACAACATGCAGTTAACAGTGTGAAGAATTCTTGTTAAGAATCGAACATGTACTTATTTTCTAATACAATTTTATTTATCATATCATAATTTTCTAATACTGTTTGGAAAGTTATATATTCGATAAAGGATTGGAAAAACACTTAAACCACATAATATATATTAAACTCATCTTTTAAACAAACATTAACAATAACATTCATCAAAAAAATTCATCAACAACAAACACGATACAACAAACATATCAAGTGATAAAATGCTTCAGAAATATACCATACATGTCCCATGATGGCGTGTTGTCAATGAAATAAGGATGAATATAAATTTAGATCTGCAAACTTGTGTATATTTTAATGGATGTCATTCTTAATCTTTGACACAAGTTTGTAAGGCTAAATTTATTTTCGTCCTCTTTATTGAAAGAAGCACCTATACCGACAAGTCAAAATGAGAAGGAAGTTCAAACATCATGAAACAAGCTATTAAAACTGATATTGAATTATTTTTTTTAGAAAAAGAACCTGTAAATACCCATTGGCTAAGATCTGTTGTTATGGTTTTGTTTTGAGGTTTTCATATGAGAGAGATGAGTGAGAGAGTTGTTAGGATTTTGTTTTGAGAGAAACGATTGAAAGAGTTGTTTGGGTTTTGTTTTGAGAATGACAGTTGTTATGTACTGAAGCAATAAATAATTTCGCTTATATATCAATAAAGTATCACCTTTCATCACGGTTGGTAATAAAAGTTGTGGTCAATAACATTTTTATCACGATAAATGAATAATTGTTGGTGTTGGAATTCAAACTATTTCACTCTGTATACCTTTTCACCACGGTTGCTTCATTTGACCGTTGTGACATGACCTCTAGTAAATACCAAAATAAAAGCACCCAGAAATAAATTATTACCACAGTTAACACTATAACCATTATAAATTTGGTGTTACTAAAGGTATATTTTGTAGTAGTGACCTTTCTAACAAAGGGTGGAAGAAGCCATGTCTGTTGAAAATGAACCATCAAGTGACAAAGATACAATTGATTTTGGGTTTGTTGAAAGGAGTAGAGAAAAAGTGGTAGATATGGGTTTGTCAGATTCATATTATATAACTGAAGATTTGGAGTCTGATGAGGATTCAAGTAATGACTACTCAGATGAAGGAACTAAGAAAAAATATCTGTCATGTTTTATGCCTAAGAAGTTTCTGGACTATAAGCGGGTTTTGGGTACCATGTTCTCAACAAAGGAGGAGTTTAAAGAAGAAATAGCCAACTATGGTGTTAATAATGGTAGAGATTTACACTTTATAAAGAATGATAAGACAAGGGTTAGAGTGGGATGTAAGGAAGGGTGTGAATGAGTTGCATTATACTCCAAATTTCCAAATGAGGATATATGGAAACTGAGAAAACTAATTGACACTCATACATGCAATAAGGAGTTTAATGTAAGGATGTTTAACACTAAATGACTTGGGAAAAAGTTGTACTCAACTATTAGAGTTAATCTAGTTGTGAAACTCACTATAATATGTGAGAAAGTGCATGAGAAATATAATATTGGTATGAGTAGGATGAAAGCTTATAGGGAAATGAAGATAACACGTAATTATGTAGAATGGTCATTTAAGGAACAATATCTGAGGTTGTATTGCAACTTAGGACTACATGCATCTTGTACCAAGTAGGTCTGATTGTATCCGAATTAATTCTATCCCGGTGGTGGAAACAGTCAATTTTATAGGACCCTTCCAGAAGGAAGTCATCACGAAGTGAGGCCTGGAGTGTAGAAGGTTACCTCCGGGATTCAGAATAGAGAAATTTCTTATTCTTATTGCAACTTAGGACTAATTGCTTCTTGCTCCAGGTGGGTCTGACGATATCCTAATTACTACTATCCTGGTGGTGGAAAGAGACAGTTTTGTAGGACCTCATCCTGAAGGAAGTCATTAAGAAGTAAGGTCTTGAGGGCGGAAGGGGTACCTCCAGGAGTCAGAATTGTGAAATTTATGATTCTTATTGCAACTTAGGACTAACTGTGTGTTGTGCTAAGTGCGCTTGATGGTATCCATAATACTTCTATCTCGGTGGTGGAAACAGCCGACTTTGTAGGACCTTTCATAAAGTAAGTCATTAGGAAGTGAGGCCTAGAGGGCAGAGGGGGTACCTCTAGGAGTCGAAATTAGGAAATTTCTGATTCTTATTGCAACTTAGGACTAACTCGTGGAAATAGTAGATTTTTATTTTTGGAAAAAAAACTTTTTTAAAACTTTTTATCAATTAATGAAATGTGTGTATAGTGATGGTGATCATCTATAGTTAAAACTTTACTGTATTCATGCAGTCATGATCTATAGCCATCTAACTTAAATCGGACGGTTGTTATTAAAAATAGTTATTTTTGAAATTAAATAAAAAAATTTAAATCTTATTTTTTTTATCCATCTGATCAAGATCCAATGGATAATGATGCCTTATTTCTGTGTACAATAGGATGTGGGATCGAGAGTGTTGCATTTTTAGTTGAGTCCTTCCAACATTTTGTTACATTGCACTGCTTGGAAAAGCTTGTTAAAACAACTTATAGTATTTTTCATAAAATTTTTTGATCTAATTTTTATAAGTCCTGAAAGGTAACTTATGAAAACAATTTAAATTTATTTTATCTTTTGTTAGTAAAATAGTTTGTGCAAGAATTTGCATTAGTGTTTATTTTGATAAGCACTTGTTCTCTAAGCTCCAAATAAGTTATTTATCCAAATTAAATGAAAAAATTAAAGATAAATAAAACACATCAAAATTATTTTTGTCATCCTCACTTAGTAAACCATGTTTTCATCATAATTACTAATACTGACTTTGCAGCTACTAATTTCTACCGCAATAGTACCTATCAATACCAAAACCTTTCAATTTAGGTTCTTCATTTTCACATCAAAATAACATTAGGACACGAGAAAGATCAACCAAAGGCACATCCAAAGATATACTTAATCTCCCTTTAAATAGTCTAATCATTAATCAATTTGATCTTTCTGCACAAAAAATACACAAACTTACGTTACAATATGAAGCAAAAATCTCCATCCATGGGAAATAGAAGCACCATACGCACAAAACATCACAATAATAATGAAACAGATAACAAGTCAAAAACACTCATTCAATACACTAGTGAGGAATATAATGAGACTCATACAAAGAATTTAAGTCTAAAATCATCGTCATTTCATCGAGGATATAAAATCCTATTATTTTTTACCTATCAACATTTACAATGTGTTTGATTGATAAATTTTTTGAACTGAGAATCAACTTTTCAAAATTATATATCTTGGTTGTGGTGATTACTATTCGAATACCTTTGTTACTTGTATGTTCCTTTAGTATTAATTATTGATTTAAAATACATTTATTCTATTATTTTCGTTGCAGTAATATACACTGGAAGGTCATAAAAATCCTGACTATGCGAGGAATATATACAAATTCTGCTTCATGACAACAAAAACTTTTGTTTCCAGGGTGAGTTGTGTGTTAGTAGTACTTTGTTACCAAATTAGTTGACACATTAAAAATTCTGTTCCTAGAACTTAATATTATATTTTTGCAGATTTATATTCTAATGAATGACCAAGGAGTGCATTGGTATCTATTTGTAGACATGAAATTATATTTAAACTATTTAGATTTTTCTGAGAAACGTCACTTCAAACATGGTGTAATCTTGAAATTGGTATGCATGTGCGTGTGAAGTTGTTTTTTTTCAATCAATTGTTTGGCTTTTTTTAACTTTGGTTTGTACTATGTGGCAAACCATATTTCTTAAAGAAATTCAGATACATAAATCTTTAAGTAGCATCAATCGAATTTTTCTAGGAAATACAATAACAACCTTCGGCCTAGTTGAACCAACGTGCCTTAAACAATAACGGAACGAATCGTAAGTACTCTCATACCTTCTTCTATTTTAATTGATTGAGAGTATTACCCATTACGTGTCACTAATGCATTTACTGACTATAAAATGGACAATTGAGTGTTTCTTCCAAAGTGATTTTAATAATGTCACAGTAAGTTGGATTCATGTGAATTTAATTAATTTAATCACTTCCCTTGTAATTATAGTTCTAATTATCCTAAATGTTCATAACTATATACAGGTTGTGACTTTGACAAGAATGAAACTTGCTCTATTTTTTATACATTTAGGTAATAATGTGTTGTTAGACAAAGTGGTGTCAAAGTATGCACCACGTTGGTAAAATGTGGTTGAAGTTTGAAGTCGGATGTTTGTATGATTATCAAAGGATTGGGATGATTTTTTGGTGCAACATTGGTTAATGTCATTGGTTATGACACTCTGTCATATTGACCTGGAATGCTTTTTGTTCGTGTTTTGAATTAATATGGTTGAAGCGTGTACTTCATTTTGACTCCATGAATCATCAAGTGTGATTATCTTATATTATTGAGTTGTTCATGGCTCTTAAACAAATAAATTACATTTTAATGTTGAGGTTTTCTTCTATGAATTTGGGATAATTTGATTGTGTTTCCATTTTATTTTGGATAATTGTGTTTTATTTTGTATAACCTTATTGTTTATTAGTACGTGTTTTGACTTTTTTAACAAAATTCAAAATCAATTACTTGTTTACAAATACACACCAAACATAGATAACATTTTTATTTTCCAATAACTCACAAAAATAATGATATGTTACCTCTAGATTTAACATACATTTATGATATGAATATGAACAACTAATTTAAGCTTACATTTGATTTGAGCTCTTATATTCACATTCTCCTTCTACACAAGTTAACTTGATCTCTAATCAACATGTTGCATACTCGTCTACATTGTTCCAAAATGCACCAAAATTTAAGTGATTATCAAATTCAAATCATAGGCTAAGCGTGATAATTTAGCATTGTTTCTAAAATTGATATTGAACTCCAATAATAAATTTACCACCGTAACAAAAAATGAACATTTTACGCAGAAACAATTTTTGTTTTAATGTATTTGATTCAGTTTAAACTTTAAATTGTAACTAATTTAGTACTTTTTCTTGATGATTAACATTTCCATATTTATCATTATATTGGATAAATTATAATTTAAAAAATAACAAGCTTCAATTGGGACTAAAAAGTATACATTAATTAACACAAATAGAGAGTATTATTATCTACGAAATTCTTTTATAACAATTAATGTATTAGACCTTATTTCAAATTTACAAGCATGTGTTTCTTATGTTATGACCTTGCATCCCACAAAGACATAACATTATGCTTTTTAATAACACACATTAACTCTAATTTGCTTACCCATGCAAGCCCTTCTTCAGTGTTTATTTTCGAGTTCAAACTCTTTATGAACATCGGGTTTGTTGATAGAGCTAAACAGTCTGATCTGAAGCAAGACATGCAACAAGTGGATAGTTGCGTCATTGTACCATCCATGAAAACCTCATGAGCGATAATATTACTGCAAAAATTTAAAAAGGTGATGAAATAATTCATTCACAGACCAATATGCTAAGAACAAATTCAAAATTTCATGAGGTTTATTGATGTCATCCAAACTCTTTCGATGTAAAAAAAAAATTGGCATATTAGTTTAAAAATTTGTTAGCAAAAACAGATGATCATATGACTGAAACTCACAGTTGAGGCGAATCTCCAGTTAGCAACAAGTTCCCAAAAGTGAGGTGTTTTAGAATCAATTGGATTGTTCCAAAATGCTTTGGAAGAAGCCATATGATATCAATTCTACTACAAATTATCATTACTAAATTGTATGATTTCAAAAAAGTAGAATATCTCATATCACAAACTCCTTAGTATGTAAAAGCAAATTTTTGGTACAAAACCAAAATAGTAAGACTGCATCAATTCACACAAAAGACTATTCTTCCATTCCACTCATAAATAAAGGGTGAAAAATATTGTCCATCAACTTCACACTAGTAAAGTTAAAGTCTTACATATTCCACTAAACAAGTCCTCCCTCACACTCTACTGTTGGTTATCAAAATATTTAATCTAAAAAACTAAAACAACAACAACAACTAAATCTTATTCCATTAAGTGGGAAAAATTACATGAATTAACTATGTATTGTTTATCCATGCAACCCTTTCTTCAGTGTGCTTTCGAGTTCAAACAATCTAAGTAAATTGTTTGCAGTCATTACTTAACTGCAGGATATTAAAAGAATAAATCATTAAAATATTTCACAATAACACACAACTTAATTTTGAATACTATCACAATATAAAATCCTCTTTATGCAACTGAAAAACTAGCAATACAAGTGATACTCTAAAGATTCAACTGAATTAAGATT